AAAAAACCGTTGTTGATTAATACAATATTTATACACGCGCCCGGAATAAAAGAGCAAGATCATATTGAATCGCGGAACAGTCAACAGAAAATCGGATTATCAGTAAGAGCGTACGCGCAGAACATGGATTGTTCAGCGTCCATCGGCGACACTGGGCCCCGTAACAAACGCTCATTGTTTCCTTTGTTTCAATCCCTAATGCAGCCGAAACGATTTTTCACACTTCGGACGGGTAAATTAAAATCACCGCCCGCACAAAACGATCCCCCAATCCCCAGGGGGCGTTTTTCGATCTCTCTCTCTCTCTCTCTCTCCGTTTGCGCAGGGATAATATTCGTTCCCCTTTGATTCAACGCCGCTGCCGGAAACGTTCGTGCGGCGTTTTCATCGAAATGTTAAATGGTTCGTAAGTCGCGTCGCCCGTTGCTGCCATTTTCAATATTCCGAATATCGGCCGTGTGGCACGGCAATAATTAATTGACCGTCTATTAATTGCTCCTCTGTTTCGACCTGTCAACGACAAATACACCTTCCGGGCTCGTTCTGCACCTGTGGTTGGAATCGTCGATGTATTTGCATGTCAGTTGCTCGATAAAAATGTGCGCACCCAGCCGCACAATGTGGTATTTTCCGAATGCAGCTAAATTTAATTTAAAAATATAGGTGATATATATATCTGGACGAATGTATTAAATCACACTTTCCAAACTTTAGAGGAGAGCACATCAAAGGTCCGAAAATCTTGTAATTTTGGAACCGTTCGGTGAAAATTGAGCTGGAAACAATCGTACTATTGAATGGATTTAAGACAAGTATTTATATATAAAAGTGGTGAACTTTGCATTAATTCCTCTATGTGATGGTAAGTAATCATGGTAGATTCTATGTAAAGTCCATCATTTAAAATACACTATTTTAAAAATATGAACTGAATATCATTTTTAAACTATTGTGTACTATATTAAAAACTAGACGACAAAGAGCGGAATAATTTTTACCATCGGAAAAAGTAAAATATTTGATGCAGAAAACATGTAAAATGTTATTTTTTTAAAAAGTGGACTTAATTGCAAATTTTTATATTTGGAGAAATTTTGTGATTTTATAGTAATTGTTATTCAATTGTTTTTGACGCGAAATAATTTTCTGATCTCTCCCGAACAAAATTATGTAAATTGTTATCATATTCTGGACACCAAAACGTATTTAAATAATGATCAAAGTGACAATATTAACCAAAATAAAACTATTTTCGAAAAATGTGTGTGGAGTACAGAGACATCTCACAAAAGACGCACAAACTTTCCGTTTAAACTCAATGCTTCGGATGTGTTTTTCCTTTTTTTTAAAAATGTATTCCACGATTATTCGACGTGGAGAGTTCGACGAGAGATTAATTTCGGGATCGTGAATCAGGTTTCGGTGGCTTCGTTCGATAATTTCCCTTTCCACGATCGAGCTTTCTCTATCAACCACGCTTTTCCGTCTAGGTCGTTTTGTTCTTTTTCCCTCTTCACGGAAACACCTGCGGAACGCGCGTTCGACGCGATTGGTAATTAGTGGTTAACGGTTTATCGACGCTCCGGGAGACGTAATAAACTCGTCGATCGCCATGATTACGCCCCTTTTGAAGCCGCGTTGAAATTATCTGACGATTAGACGCGTCGAAAGTGGCCGCTGGAGACGTGCCTTTAACGCGTTGACCATCATCTGTCGCTACTTTGTGGTGGTATAGTCGGTGGAAATTACATAGTGTCCTCGTAAACTGTAGACTGTACACTATCGAGAGGCTGATTCAGTGCATTCATTATTCAGTGTTAGCCCCACGAGCGGATTATACTGATTACTGGACTGTAGTTGTTTGTTACGTGTAACACTATAAATTGTAACTAGCATTTGCACCGTTGGAGTCTGTCTTTGTGTATTGGTTGGCGTTAAATTGGAGTAGAATAAACATTTCCGAGAACTGTTATAAAGTAAATTTAGTGTAAAGAAGTTTACACGGATTTAATAGCAGTGAAATTCTTTCAACCCACTCACTGCATCTTTTTGGCACGTTGTACAAATATTTTTTTCTCATAAAATTAGAAACCAATAGTCATTTTAAGACTTTTAATAATTATAGATTAGGTCTAAAACACCACGCTAATACAGTAATTGAAATTCAAAGGTCTTGCTAACATCAGTAAACAAACATGAACAAATCGTTTCGTAAAGTGAAAAATTTAAGAAAAATAAGTGCAAAATAATGTAATCCTGGTGACAGTAATCTCGACGACTATTGACACTATCGCAAATTGAAATGTCTTCTCGAGACGTTGATCAATTTTCAAGACAATTAAGAATTTGCCCAACGTTTGCTGTTTCACGCCCAGTGCTTGTCAGACATGTTCATTCGTTACTTCGACGACTTATTGCTGATTAATTAAATGGATACGTCTTCCCGATCACACGTCGAATCAATTAATTTCCCTCCCCGTTGCATGGCAGCAGCGACTAGTCGGACGCCAACAATGATTTGCATCGTCAATTAAAACGCAAAACGTTGCCCGCTCACCGTGGCTGTCAAGAATATTCAGCGCTCGTTGAGTCGTTAACTCGCTTAAGTGCGTTCCTTCTCTTATGAATATGCAAACGGGCTTTAATGCGCGGGATATTTGTTCGCGTCGCTCGCGATAGCACCGGAAAACAGTGAATCCCGAGGATGGAGGCGATTCGGTTAATGAATTAATAACTTGATCAGTCAGGAGTCCTTACTATAAGCGGTTACGCGAAGATGATATCTTTGCTGCTCTTTCACCGCAAGAAATTCCGCCTGGCGGTCTCGACAGAGGCAGCAAGATGGAAAGTAGGTACTCAAGCTACGTCTACACTATGTAGCATAACCCGATATGGCCAAATTCATTATTTAGATAAAGAGTTTCAAATAACAATAAAAGATAAAACAATGCAGTTCGTCATTTTCAATCGTTTAAACGTGGAAATTCCCAATTTTTATAAGAAAATAATACTTCTTTTTGAATGAATCAATATTTGGCAAACAATTATTTAATCTCATTAATTGTCTAAAGCTCAGAATGACGGCTTTAAGAACTGAAGCTTTTCACTATGTATTATTCGAATAAAATTGTGCCCAACTCTGAGCATAACACGTTACATAGGAAAGTTATAATACTGTCAAATTTTCACATGTTTGATAGAACGTAATGAAAATTGGACCTTGTTCGTATGTTTCATCGGTATCACTTACAGAAAACTGAAAAAAAAACGAGTAACTTGTACAAATAGTACATTCAGTTCATACCTGGAAAACAGGTTACCTATCTATTCACCAGATCAAAACGATTGTGGACATGAATAACAAATAATGCTACTATAAACTAGGTATTTGAATTATTTCAAAATGAATATAGACTTTCACAAAAAATAGTGGACTATTCCTTAATTCCCCCTAAATATATTGTAATTCCATAATAAATAAAACAATGTTTTAAATATACTACTATAGAAAATGAAATTTGAATAGTGATGGCACATTTGCTTCCCACCAGAATAATAACCAAGTAAATAAACACTGTAAATGGAACCCACCACTATCAATAGTTCCAATAATCGAAAAACAAAGAAAACTTTATTAAACAACACAAATTAAAAAAAACAAATGTTATTATGTTTCACTCAGCTGTATCCACTGTGGTTGCATAAAATCTATATTATGTTCACAAGAAGCAATAAACAATTCTCTTCGACGTTTCACGTGGTTCTGGCATTAATCTAAACGGTAACAGTCGAGACTGTCGTAGTTTTTACACGGTGTTAAGTAGAACATTCTTGGCAAGCGTTTACAGGAGACCGAGCTGCTACAGCGAATATATGAACCGACTAATTGTCATTAACGGAGCATCTTCGTCGGTGTCGCGTTACACTTAGCTTCCTATTTGCCTGTAGTTTAATTATTAAGGAAAATTAAGCAGTCTCTCAGGCGGCATAGAGAAATTGGGGGGGGGGCGGTACGGTTAATTGCCACAATTAGATTTGATTAATGTCTCTAATTACACTTTCTTTTTTAATCGTGTAACGGCGACCTCCCACCCCTTGGTATCGCTGCTCGTGAATCATCAGCGGTTAGGGCAGATATGTGTAATGAAAATTAATATTTGACGTGAGCCTACGATCACCGACATTTATCTCACGTGGTTCGTTTAACGAGGTGATTTCATCGGTCAAGGTTATAAATAATAATTGGACCGCGAATTTTCGCGCAGTTAGGCACTATTCGAGCCCATAAACAGAAGTTTTATGTGTTAACGACGACTTTATAATTTGGTTTGTAATTTCGACATTTACGTTACGCGATAGAGCTGCTGGAATTTATTTTACGAATCAACGTATCCATAATTCAGATGTTGTCTGTTCAGTGTGTACTACAGGGGATGCGAGTAATATGTAATTAGTGTTTGATTGGTAATTAATTAAATTACTATAATGTTTTCCAGTCAAACACAATAGCCGAACGCCTATTAATCAATTAATGAATTAATAACCGAAATATTTCCTGCATATTACATTATGTTATATACATAACTCAAACGATTCAGTTTGATCATTTGATAATAAATTGATATACATAGTTATACTACGATGCCAAAATAAAGACTCGAACCGTACGTCGTGGGATCAGTTTTTGTCATATTAGATTTGATCAAACATTCATTTGATAATCAATTCGTATCGAATATTAGATTCGATCAAGAATTCTTTTGACAATCAGTTTTTAACTGACATTCCTTTTGGCAAATACGCTTGACAATAATATATTTTCTCGTCGAGTTATCGATATCGTTAGATGGGAGATTGAATCCCTCTGTATCGGAACGTACGAATGACATTTCATTCGGTCGTTTCGAAGACGATCTACTTCATAAAAAATTCCACTCACCGTCGTTTTCTTATTATATGATATACCTGACTCTCGGCTTGTCTTTGTCGTTGCAGTGACAATGATAGATGCGGAGGCAGTGGCAGGTGGAATTGCTCAGTTACCGTGCGACGTGGAACCGCCGGTCCCCGGAGACAAGCTACATCTAGTTATTTGGTACAAGGAGGAGGCAGACGCGCCGATATACAGGTAAATTTACACTTGAGTTCCTCGCGTCTACATCGCGAACACCTTATGCGTGTTGACCAATTTACACGAGACAGAAATTCCGTAGAAATTCATTTCTTTCTATTAACGCTAGAACTACCAGATCCTTATTTTATAATACAGGTAAATATGCTGGTAATTATAATACACAGGTAATTTTATTGAGTGTAAGGGAAAGTTCTGTCGTTTTTTATTTTGCCAACTTTCAAAGCTTCTTGCCAATAGATGCCAATAGATATTGCAACAAGATTTACGTCAGTTCTGAGTTTAACTGTTCTATTGTTCCAGTAATAGAAATTAGCCCAGTGAATTGATTATTTTCTATATTAATCAGTTTCACAATGTGTGACTCAAAAGGGCGTTGGAGGCACTGCATGTTGTATGAGTATCAGAAATGTGTATTTGGCGAAGTTGCAAGGATCTCGAGAACCGGCCAAAGATAATTCGAAAAATTTCGAAGCGGTGATTTTTTATTAAAACAAAAACCCAGGTCAAAGAAACCAACACGTATTGATAATGATGTTTCACGCATAGTGAAAGAGAACAATCTTTTTTATCATGTTATTAACAAAAACAATAAATAGACTGCGCATTTTAATGCAAAAATGATACTCTCTAAAGTAACTCATAAAGACAAGAGCAAAGAATTTATTTCTCAACTATCGTATTGAGTTCAGAATAAAATAGAAAACTCAAGTAATAACAGTAATGACTTTTCACCAGAATGAAAGAGGAAATAATGGCATTAAACACATTTCTTATTGATCGATTAACCCTAGAATGCATACAATCAATCCTCGATAAGTGTTCGAAGACTCTTCAACACTGAATATTAAATATTTCATAAACTAATGGCCGTATGCGACCGAAACAAGTATCATTTGCTTCAGAATTCTAAGCTCTAACTCTGCCAAATCTAATTAAAAAATCAGTGTTACATCTAGGGACCTCTTCTTGTAAATAGCAAGGAGCCTTCGTACACTCATCGAAAATTTATTAATACATAGTATCTACACAAAATATATTTTTGAAAGAAACTGCTCCATTATAATATTATTTAATATATGATATATTATAATATAATATGGTCTTTTATTATTGAAACGTATATATCTACCAACCTGAAGACGTTAGAATAATTACAACTTTTAGGGTTCAGTGGGGTATTTAATTGCCCCTGTATGCGTTTTAAGGTTCAAACAATTTTACAGTCCGCCAGTTTTTATGTATACATATAGGAAATTATGTTGTACGACGCTCCAGTAACTGGAAGAACGAGCCGAATTATATATTATTTGCCGTGGACAAATATTTTGGGAAAGTGAAACTTGGGGAATTCGGTGTACCGAGGCAATCAAAGACACTTCGACGATCCTGACCCCCCTCGTGGATGATGTATAAACATTAAGTGATTTTTCTTCGGAATAGTTTCTGCCTCTCGTAGCTTCAAGATTCTCTGCCACTTCGAGGATTCCACGGGATAAATGCTGCATTGCGGGCAATCCGTTCTCTCAAAGCATTCTTCCCATAAATTCATTTTCGTCCGGCGAATTTTACGTCTGAAATGCTGCCAGTTTCCCCTCTGTTGTTTGTATTTCGTTATCTATTCTTTACGGATTTCTTTTGCTTTATTCCGCTAATTACGCGGTCGAGCGTGCTGTGTAATAGGTGGACCGCGAGTTTTAACGTGACTTCGTTGGCGAGAAGCATTACCTTTATCGAGATTTCTGTCTAGTTCAGAATAAAATAAAGACAACGATAAAGTTTCTTCTTTTAAATTATATTTTTTTTTAGGTTTTATACTAGAAGTACCGAACCCGTCAAAATGATGGATTCCAGATTTTTTAATCGTGCAGTTTTTCTTTTTTTAATAATAAATGAAGTTGAAAATTTATGTTGGAAATTACAAGCTTCAGTTCAAACAGTCGCCATTTTGTAAAATATTGATATTTGAAAATCTGCTTCGGTATGTACTAGTTTCTTTTGTCTACTGTAATATACAGTTAAAAAAATTTGTTTCAATTGAAAGCCCGATGGAAATATATCTGGAACCACTGTTGGTGTTTTGATGAAACGGGTTATAATTTGATGGCAGTCATTTTCTTCTGTTGATAGATACGTAGCTCAAGTTTTTCAGAAATTACTAAAGAAATAACATATAATAAGATGTATATGTTGAATTTTTGATTTTTGAAATAATTTTTTAATTGTCCCTTATGTAACAGCGCAAAAGTATATGTATAACCCCGTAACCAAATCAGCCTGAAAAGATGTTTGTGTATCTTTGCTCTAACATCTTGATTGTTGAAGAAAAAAACACAAAAGAAAAATACGACCTTTTCCGTCGAAAGTTGAATTAATAGATTTATATTGAATTCTTCATTTATTTCATTATCTTGAAAAAAATTTCGCGAAAATTACGACTCATCGAAGGTGGCCACTTAAGGAGTAATTACTTAAAGAATAAATATAAATACTCTAACTTTTTCGAATGTTTTTATTAATGTATTAATAATTATTTTATTAGTAGTTATTATTAATGTATAAAATTACTAAACAGACGATGTTCCTGCTTTAAACTCGCATGAATATAGTCTAAGAAGCTCTTCAAAGCAAACCAATTCCATCTTCTGCTGACAATTTTCCACCGTCGTGGTCACGGCTATAAAAAAAGAAAAGAGTATAGATCTACGTTCTCGCGTGGAGCGTGTTAAAAGGACGTCGATTCGTGTCGCAAATCCACTCCTCCGGTTCGGGAAATGCCATAGAAAGTGGAACGAAGAAGACCCGTTCACACGGTGTCGGAGACTCTGACGTGCAAGAACGATCCGTATATTAGGCTACGTATCCGCGTGAACTCTCAATGTTTATGCTGAGTGTCCACGTGAGAATTACCCTCGAGAATTATGCTGCGTGTCCACTTTAAAGAAACTGTACAGGATTATTATAAATTCTTTGATACGAACTGTTGGAAAAGAAAATGAGAAGAATCTGATTTTCTTCTCTAGGAGTTTCGTGTTTTGTGCAAAGTTCCGTCGAAATAAATAGGTGCACTGCCACTTAAACAAGAACAATGGATTTTTATTATTAATTATTATTTCAAACGAATCGATATTATTTTTATGTTTAACTAACAGTATTGAAAATGAAGTTCCGAAATAAATTATTTCGAGTAGTTATTTTTTATTTTCATATTAAATAAAATTTGCCCAGATCTGCTTACAATTGTTTCTGGGCTCAGACAGACATGTTAATAATCTGTCATTTATTTTTCTATATGGCTTAGTAATGAAAATACTGAAATGTCCAGGACTACCCGCCTTTCCCCTACACGCAGCATAAGCTCTAAAAGAAAAAGTTTCCCTCGGAGGCCCGTACTCATCAGAACAATCTGCTCTCCAGATTAAGACTCCCAAGTCGCCACGCAGCATAAGGGTATGAACGTCCTCGAAGGACCGGTTTGAGGAAACTTAGCCCGCGGACATCGGCAGGCCGCAAACCTCTTCCAGCCCCGAGGCGATTCGTCCCGAAAGAGAGCGAAAAAGTCGCGGAACACCTGCCCAGTTGCATCGTGATAATCGCGTGGGGCTCGTAATTCGCCCGATCGTATTGCTGAGTCGTTATATCCTCGTGGAAATACTATTCGTTGCTTGGAAGATGGGGCAAGTCGAAGGAATGCAGGTCTGATTGGTTGTGTCCCCTTAAATTCTATTCAGAATTTAGAATTCTTAGAATTCTTAGAAATTCTATTCAGAAGCTCGTTTTCCTAGAGATAGACTATTATTTTCATTTCTTGAAATGACTGTTTGCCTTTACAGTTGGATTAGTATTTGATAGTAAATAAATAAATATTCGAGTAATTCGAGCAATTCGAATATTTACAAGTAACTCGAAACTTAAAGATCTGTTCGAATATATTCGAGTAATTCGATAATTTTCGTGCAAGAAATTTATCTGTAAGTAAATCGAAGTCTTAAGAGGACTCGAATATTCGAGTCGTTTGAGATTTTCAGACAGTCCGTCGATTTCAACTATAGACTCCTCTCGATTATTGTCTGGCTTGTTTTACACGATTATTGTCCAGGCGTTATCTAGGGAGGGGGTGGGGGTGGAACCTGTCAAGCGCATACATTGTTACCCCTCCACTTTTGTTGCCGAGGCTCGGGCTTCGGGCAAAAAACGAATTTACTTTTTTTTATTGTCCCGAACCCGAGTTTGGGACAATAATCGAGAGAAGTCTATAGCTCGGAAAATTCAAACGCTTGACTCGACTCGAGTAATCGAACTGAATTCAGTTCTGCCTGTAAATCACAAGTACTCGAACACTCTTACTATAGTGCCGCTTAGTCGGTAAAGGGTTAACCAATTTGAACACGTGGTTAGGCATCGATCTGTTCCGTTGCAATGATCCTGGTTCAGGTAAATAAAAGATGGTGGCGTTGGGGTGAAAGAATGTAATGTTCATTTTTGCGAAAGATTGAATATAAATATGTCCCTTGTCGGGATGTTGGATCGCCGGCTAAGAGATAGAGTTGGTCGATGAGGATAGAGAGACACCGAATACACGGTTGTCAAATGAGTGGATTTATTAGTAACAGTAAACCAGCCCGCGGATACGCGTGACGTGCCCGCGTTGTACAATGGCATGGGGGCAATATGATTCAGTGTTGCGCGAGACAATGTATATAACATGGGAGGGAGAGGGATGCCGTCAGTTTGTTTCATATGAAACGGCAAAGTGAGAGTAATGCGCCACGACGTTCTTTTGTATTGAGATATATAGAAATATAAATTAGAAGCGGAATTGCGGGTGACCGGGTTCGGGAGAGTTTGACACACGGATTGCAGGTGCACGGGAGTGGATGCGTGAAAAATATGCAGATTTGGCGGAGGATATGAATGTGGAGGACTGGAAGTAGTATTTGAACGCTGAGAGAATTTTGTAGTATGAATTTGTAGAACTCTCCGATAGGAAAATTCGT